GGCTGGCCGTGTTGAAAACGATGAGTTGTTGGGGACACTTGCATGGGATCTAGACGCTTTGTCAGATTCTTCTACCAATCTGGAAAGCCAAGGGGCCTATCACAGGATTTTTGCTTTGTCTGCACGAGTAGGTCTCATAACCCAACACATCACTGCCACTGGATTTCCGAAATCAACATTCCCTTTCTGGGGGGGGATAAGATTAATCCATGGAAAGCATTTCAGTTTAATTTTATATGATGCTGGCCATATATATATATATATATATATATATATACGTATGCGTGAATATGCATGATCTGCACATCTGGGTATATTTAAATTGCAGTTTTTCAACCACATTGCCATGTGTATTGTCAGCTTGTTTGGTCCACTTGAATTCAGTTGACAGGTTGAATCATTTGTTTTCAATTATATGATAATAATACTGAAAAACTGCAACAGTGCAAATTATTCAACACGTTTGTGCGTGAAGACATTTTGAAAACAACATTATATATTAAGAATATTCATAATGTATTTTTGTTGCTAATTGCGAGACGAGTTAACTAATCACAAGAGGAATTAAACTAATTAAGTTTATTATTATTATTATTATTATTATTCAATAACCATGATCACATTTGAATGTATGTATTATGTAGAGAGAAATATACAGATGAACGAGTTTATACTTATAAGTTTTTGTATAAGTTTGTAGAAACCAAAAAGATTATTTTTTTTGCAAAAATATTTGTAGATATTTAATTCTTACCATTAACAAATTGAGTGTATTCCCAATTTTTGATCGACAGTTGAAATAAGTTTCCGAAGTGGTTACAAATCGATGGTCTATAAGAAACCGAATGAAAATACGACGTTTTTTAAATTATTTTATTATTTCAGTTGTCTACTTTTTATTTAATAAAAAAATAGTGTCTTTAAATTCATTCCAATTAAATTTTCGAATAAGAGAACTATTCATTCTGCTAACGAGTTACAATTTGTATTTTTTCTTAATGAGCTTCTACTTCTCAAAAGATGTATATTTGGCTACTCAAAAAAAGCCTGGAGAACACATAGAAGCATGCAGAAGTTATACTTATTAAAAATCAAAATTTCATATCGTGCGACTATTGCTTGTTTTGAATGCTAATACCCAGAACTGATATAATTAATCGATTACTCCTCTACAAAGGACAATCTATGTACAAAAAAATGTATTTGTTACTAACTAAACAGCGTTCGAATCGTACACGGCTAAAACATATTTTAATCTTAGAAATTAAATCCAAAACTTGTATTCCAAAATATTCTTGGCATTACATCCATTTCAAAAAACAACGAACTATAAATAGTTTCATCCATCACATAAAATATATTCGTCAACTACAAATAGTTTCATCCACGAAAACATCTATCCAAACCGAGCGTGCACTGAAGCCTCCACGCCGATTCGGGAAGCCAACAGCTGGAAATGACGACTGGGTGACGTCACGTGGTACGCGGTCCGAAAAGCCCTCCCCCGGGCCCCGCTGACCACTCCCTGCTTGGATTGGGACGCCGAATTTCGTGCAGGGTTGACTTTAGGTTGAGGAAGTGGGAATCCAATCCTCGTGGAGCCAAAAGGAGGAGAGACTGACTGAGTGACTGCGTGTCCGACTGACCGACTTACCCTTCCTTGGCTTCCGATCCCTGTTTTGCGCCCCTCGCTCTTACTCTCTGTCTCTCTCTCTTTGTTTGTGGATTCCAAATGGGCAATGGAGCCCTAAAACCCTGGCTGGGACTGATTCTGATGATTATGCTGGTTGCCAATCCCCCCCCCCCCCCATCGAGGCGACATTCGGCGCAACCCAGGACACAATCTATCCCACAACTGTCCTCCCTCTCTGCGGCGCTGATTCGCAGCCGCTCCTCGATCCTCCGTGGATTCAATGCGGAGTGGAGGAGACCGTGCGGCGATATTTTTTATGCTGGTATCCTGTTGATATCTGGGTCGTGTTACTGTTTGTACTGATGCTCCCGTTGGTGTAGCGGTTGATATTGCGGTAACACCTGGTTGTGATCACGACACGGTGGCGTTGTGAGGGCCTTGACGAGTTGTTCACGAGTTTTAATAAGTGGAGGACGATTATTTTATGCTGAGCATTGTGTGAGTTTGAAACGGCAGCAACATGCTGGGATTGCTGTGAGCTGTACAATTGAATGAGATTTCTAAACACATCACAACTGGAAGAAAAAAGTAAAGAATAATCATGTGATATAACAAATATTTATGAATAGTTCTAAAATAATTTCTTCAATTCCTTGAAACACTGGCATTTTTTCTATCTTTTTTTCCTTTTTTCCTTTTTCTTTTTCGAAAAAAATATGGTGATAAAAAATGAGAAATGAAAACTAAATGAATACCTAGAATATTTGTAGTTTAAAAAAAATATTTTATTATGTGGAAAGACATTTCACTAACTTTGCTAAATGCTCTAAAATACATCTTTGTATGTGAAAGAATAGTAGATTTGGTGGGCTTAGAAAACTATGTGCTGATTTTTATTTTTTTTAATTATTGTTAAAAAAGTAGTAAGTGAGATCAATTCAAAAACTTACAAATGAAACTTCATTTGAATCTAATGGAGTTGTGTATAAGAGACTTTATGTGTCTACATGTATTATTTTTGTAGTTTTTGAAATATTTAATTATCTTTAATTTTAAATACAATTTATAATTATCAATGTTTTTAATATTTTAAAGATGTAAAAATCATGAAAATAAAATTTTTAATGATTAAACTTATAATATAATTTTTCATATAAAAAAATTATTTTATTTATTATCTAAGAAATTATTCAAATAAATATCAAATATATTGTGATTTCATATACATTTTAGTTTTTAAAGATTGTTACTTTAGTACTAATATCATATCCATATAATTTAAAATCTATGGTAGCATTATATATTTTTCTTTTAGTTTCTAGACAATTTTGTAATCCAATGTTAATTTAGCTTGTTCTAATTAATAATTAAATTATAATTATACATGTATGTAACAATATTTTCTTAATTATTAATAAATTTATTGTCAAATAGTAAAAGGAAAAAAATTATGAAAGATAAAACTATAAATATTGTTAAATAATTATCTGTGTTTTTTAAGTAACATAAGTTTTATTAATAGTTATTATAAAAAAATATGCAAGATTTTATTATTTTTTATAAAAGTATGTTACATAGAATATACAAGACAAAATTTGTATAATGAAATAATACGCTAAACTTTATAGAATAAGTTTTTAAAGCTTGTATAATTTGTAGTTGAGTTTTATTTTTATTATTTTTATTTTCAATAAAAGTAACTTTGATTTTTAAAAATTCATTTAACAAATTTTTTTCATATAAATTTTACTATATATAATTAAAATGAATATCTATCTGAAAGAATTGTGTCATATTTATATCTAAAAATATTGTAATGATAGTTTTTTTTATTGAAATTGTGTTGTCTTTGATATACAAACATAAACATTAAAATCTATGAATGATTCCATTAATACTAATAATGCCTTAAATATTATTGCAATCAAATAAATTTGATTTGTATTGAATACATAAAAACTATTCTATACTATTTATAGATTATAAAGAATGATAAAGCAACCTATGTTTTTTACTAAAACAACCCACTCTATCTTAACCATCATTGTACCCTTGCAACCTCCATCTCTATTTCTAGCCGTTTCCCATTCCCAACCATTGCTAAGGATGGGGGCAGAGGGCTGAGAACATCAAGAATAGGGATGATGGTTGGAAATAGGGAATCAACTAGGAATGGGGTTGAAAGGGTACAATGATGGTTTAAACATGTGGGTCGATTTAGTAAAAATTTGGATAGTTTTATTATTTTTCTAAATTTAATAATTTATTAATTTAAATATAATATTTTTAATCATAAGAATTATATTTAATATTTAAAAATCATAAAAATATTTTAATGTATTTTGTGATAGAATATGTTAAAATTAGTTGATACAAAATTACTAATAATATAAATTATCAAATAATAAATATCCAAAGTAATAATTTATAATATAATATAGCTAAATTTGATTTGCTATGGTTACATTCTATATAATCTTAATGAATAAAAAATATTTTAAAAATGTTTATTTATCCTTTTTTTTAATAAGAACGTATTGAAAGAATCAATGTTTTAAAAGAGTAGATATGAGTTTTTTACAAATAACATTAAATCGCTTATGCTAATATATATATATTTTATCATTTTTAATTTGATACATTAAAAATTTGTATATTTTTAGTATAAAAGTGTTAGTATTGGATGTAAAAATGAAGTATATAAATATATTTTATTATAGAAAAATAAAAATACTAAATTTGAAAATTCAATTCAATTAAGATCTAAAGTGTGTGTGTATATATATATATATATATATATATATATAATTGGTAAAAATACATAAGAAACTTTTTTATTTTTAGTTATTTTAAAAATAAAAATATTATGATAATTGTATTTTATAAGAATTGATATACAAGAAAGATATGAGAATTTGTAATGTCCAACAAGAAGTCAAGGATTACTTCACTCGAAGAACATCATGTACCACTCTCAACACATGCATAAAAAAAACAAATAAATAGAGTAATTTTTGATGTATAAACACGTGTGCACAATGAATAGCGTGTAATGACGTCCTCAATCCTCTTTAAATAATCCAACTTCTTATTCTCTACCAAAGAGATTGCATTCGTTCATACTTCTTTAAACAATTCAGTTATTCTTCATTTAAACGATTACACTCGGACACAACATTTTTTTGAAAGTATATTTTTTTTTTGTTGTGACCATCATCCTCTTTTGGGGCTCACCATAGTTTCCTATACGTGTAAAATTTGTCTCTTTTTTCAGATAATTGCGTGGAGAGTCCATTCGAAACCCTGTGGAAGGTTCTCACGGTTTTGCAAACCCTAAAATCCTGGCCTTTTATCACACTATATACAGATTGGTCCAACTTTCGCTAAGATTTGTTGTCACTGTTCTGACTGAGAGACTTCGTTGCTCACTGTATAAAGTTGACAGTGCAGCTCAATGCAACGCATAGGTCTCTCTGCTTGAAGTGACGTGAAATGCAACCACTGTTGTGACTTCATTTGTTTGCATTACTTCCTGATGATTAATTCATGTTGGCAGAAAGCATGGATCGAATTGTGTCTCATAGCTTTGGTTCTGGTATGCCTTATGTCAATAAGCAGTAGGACCAAAACGGTGGGTCTTGTCCGAATGGCTTCGTTGTACGAGATGGAATTTGTTCCAGGTGTTGAAATATTGCGAATGGAGGATTGGGTTAATTCCAGGTTATGGAGCACAAGAAGCATCTCAGCAGTTGGTTCAGGAGGGTTTTGACAAGCTAGCTTCATCACGCAAGGTTGCAATGTCTCCCCAGCAGGTGAAAATATAAGTCTTATTCGTTTATCTCTTAGAACCTTACTTCGCTCTTCTATGAATCGAAATGTCGAAGAAAACATTCATGGGAGAATTTATGAAATTCACGTTACCAATTTCATGGGGAAGAGTTATTCGAACAAGCACCAGTCTAAGTCCAAGTTGCATATTGGGTCTCAATGGAATGGACTGAAGCAGATGGAGATGAGTAATAGAGACTAGAGCACTAGGATGGAGTGAAGATGCAGAAGGAAGTAGCAGACCTAAAGGCGGCTCTAGACCACATATTGCATACAGATTAGTTTTGTTCAATCTTCTCTCGGCCTCGGAAACTGTAGGATACGGCAAGAGGAGCAGGTCTGATGTTTTCCACACGATGAAGGTGGGCACATTGTTCGTAATGTTGCTGTAACACGGTTGCATGTTTTTTGTGAAGCAATGGACCATGTGCTGCAAATTCAAGGGTATGTTCTGTGAAAGCTTGAACGGAAAGAGGTGACACTTAGATGTGGCATTTACTGGCTAAAGACTTTTTCTTCTTCTCATCCTTATATGGTGAAAACGAACTCTAACAGTTGCTTTCGAGCTCGGACGGCAATTCGTACAAACTTCGAGATTATGAAGGACACAGGAACTGACAACAAAAGGAAATGCGTGTGTCAGGCTTGAAGGCAGAAGCGGTCGAGTAGCACAGTGAAAGGACTCACCCTTTACGTACGTTATCGCTTCTTGACAGAAAACACATCAACACTCTCAAAAAAAGCTTCATGATCAGTCCACAAATCTGCAATGATCGGCACGTTAGAGCACGTTGGCCTTCACAGCTTTTCCAGCTTGACTGCAAAGAAAAGGAAGACATCCAGAGGGAGGCAGTTGCTTGAGTCGAGGCGACTCAACAACTTCAGTCATGCACACCATAAGAACACGAAATATTCACCAAGATTATGCTCCTATGCTGGTAATGAGATGCTGGTGCAAATCGAGACTCATGACCCATCTTTTCTTCTTGCTACAATTCTCTCTTCCACACAAGTTTTGTGAACTTGAAGCTCTTCCTCTGACAAAAGTTGTGAACATCTCCGCAGGTTGATGTGAACAACTATATAAAACAGTGTTTGAGGAGAATGAAGTGGTTGAAGGAAGCACGAGTGTCTTCCCGACCTACATGGACAATGAGTCTCGTTCTTACAACACTCCAAGATTATATGCAAGATTGACTTGAATTCACCCAAATTTTGATGACTTTGATGCAACCTTGAGATTACCAATGTGCAAGCAAGCTGCGCTATTGCAGTGGGGTTTTATGTTTGATATGGTTGGACTTGTGGAAAAAAACAACAAAAAAAGAAGAAGATTCAAACAGCTCTCTAGTCGATACAACAAAACAACATGAGTGTCTCAAATTTCCCAAAGTGGCCAATTCTTAAAATATTTTATTTGTTTATTTCAGATTATATTTAAGAACAATTGCTTTCTCTATGCAATCTTGCTCACTGAAAAGGAATAGACATGATTTTATTGTTTGATATATTTAACTTATTGTTTTTTCTTTCTTCCTTCTTCTTCAAGGAAAAGTAGACTAAAGGAAAATAAATTAAGGAAATTCTTATAATTTATAAATTTATGATTTAAAAGCCATATAAATTAAAACTGTATCCTTGTGATGTGTTCATAACAGGTGGTGTTTACAATATGGGTAAAATTTGATGCTTAAAAATAAATAAAAAATCAATATTTTTAAGGTAAAAACAGGTGAGCAAAAGGAATTAAAAACAAATGGATTAGAATAAAGTAGCTACAAGAATAAATAACTAAAAAAAAATTATCATACAAAAGAATTTTTCAACAAAATTCTTAGACTCAACGAACTACTAAAAACTATACAACAATGTATTATTCACAGGAAATTGAATGTAGATGTGGCATTTTACTATCATTTAATATTTGTCTATTGACTCTAAACTCAAAAGCAATGAATAAGTGGCTAAAGAAAAATCTTCTATCTAAATAAGAGAATTTTTGTATTTAATATACAAAACGAATGGTCATAACTTTAAAATTTGTTGATGGGCCAAAATTAAAAAGCCTAACAAAATTAAATTTATACTTCAGATTTTTTATTTTTTTTTAAATTTTTTTTCAGAAGGCTTACAATAAAAATAAAAATATTTTTTTTGTATGTTTTTTTATCTATATTGTATAAGCAATATTTTTAATTGATTTTTATTTTTAAAAATATATTTTAAAAATATTGATAATATATTTTATTTTATAGTAAATATATTTTTCGTAAAATAGCATAATGTTGTTATTAAACATGTCTCATCCAACTTGGACACATGTCATGTAGCTTACAAGTCTTCACCATATAGTTCTTTAATAGATAGTATATACAATGACAAGACTAAGATATTTCTCACTCTTATCAAGATCTTTCTTGTATTTAATCTTGATTCAAGGCTTCTTAGTCTTTTTATATTTAATAATAGCTACTCTAATTTTAATTCTAAATCTATCTTTTAATTGTCTACTTTCTTTCTTTTAGTGATATGAGTGAGTATTTTTTATTTTTTATTTTAAAAATTTTAAATAAGTAAATTAACTCATTTATGATTGTTGTGTTTTAAACTTTGCTAACTACCTATTATTCAGTTAACATTTTTGTTCTTCTAATATTGGTTCTTTTTTTAAAAACAATAGACTACTTTACTTTGTAGAAATTTTTCTTTGCTATTAGATGTTGTATATTACCTAATATAATTTGATTAGTAGATTTGTTAAAGCTATTTATTATATAGATGAAAGAAAAAGAAATTATAGATGCTACACTTGGTAGAAATAAGAATACATTTGTAACTATGACAAATCTTTGGAAGTTTATCAATATTCTTAGAATAGAAATTTTATTTATTATCAATGTCAATCATCAAAGTACTATTCCTATATCTATAGAAAAAACTAATAATATAGTCTTAATATCTATGCCAAGAAGTTATGTAGATAAGAAAAGCAAATAGATCAACTTTATAAGTAAATTTAAAAAGTATAGCTACTACAAATATGAAGGAATTAAAGTTTATTATACTATAGAAATTTAATAGAAGAAGATCAAAATTTAAAAGATTTATATAATAAGCCAAGCTATATTTAAGATCACTTTTTTTTTAATATTTTAACAAATTTATTAAAGTTGGCATTATAAATATACTCTTTGTCATAGACATACATATTTACTTATATAAGAAGTGTTAGATAGAAGATAAATATAAATAAATTTGATCTTATCTTCAGGCAAAGCTTCTTAGAAGCTATATAAATGTATATTTGATATTAGACATGTTTGTAGTTGATTGATAGATTAGAAACTTAGCTAACAAATTAGCCATGTGTTATACATACAAGTAGCTTGTAGAATAAGCTTATTATGTGGCATGTATATAGGAAACTTATCTTATAAGTTAGATATATGTCTTTCAAGTTGGACACATATAGGATGTCTTACAGAATGTCACCACATAGCTTTTAGTTAGATAATATTTATGGAAATAAGAATGAAGCTTTATTCATTCTAGTCAATGTCTTTTTAATTCTTAGTCTTATTTCAAGACTTTTTAGTCTTCTTGTCTTTAACAATTGCCATTCCAATTTCAATACTATATTAGTTTTGAGTGACTATATATTATTTTTAAATTACATAAGAATGTATTGACTTTTTGGTTTGTTTAGATTCATATTCTTAACAGTTTAATAAAAGTACTAACTCATTGTTCTTATCTTCTTTTTAAATGTGAATAGACTATCCTACTTCTATTATTATATTTTGAAGGTTGTAGATTATCCACCTTCAATCTAAAATTTTAGTTTCTAAACAATGATTTTTTTTTAAAGAGAGTAGACTACTTTTCTTTAAAGAAATTTTTCTTTGATATTAAAGGTTGCAGATTACCCTCCTCTAATTTGATTTATAGATTTATTTGACTTGTCTATGGAAGAAAAAATTATAGATACTACTCTTGGTAGAAATAAAAATAGATTTACAACCATTGTAGATCTTCATGAGTTTGTCAATATTCTTAGGATAAAAATCTTATATATCTCGAATATTAGCCATAGAAGTAGTATTCCAATGCATGTGAAAGATGTTATCAATGAAATTCAAAGTCTATGTTAAAAAATTGTGCAATTTAGAGAAGTAAGTAGATTAAGTTTACAACTAAATTCAAGAAGTCTTACTACTATAAGTATGAGGGAAGTAAGGATAAGTATGCCAAAGAAGTTTGATGGAACAAAATTGAAGTTTTAAGAATTTCTACTACAAGTAAAGCTATATCCTTCTCAATACTCTGATGGATTTACTCAAGTTGAATTTCATAGGTATACTTTTCTTTAAAAGTGTTATTTTTTGGTTTGTACCTTTGATAGAAAAGGATTCACAACTACTTTTTGATTTGAATTTATTTTTGGAAGTCTTTACAATCTTATTTAAAAAAAATGCTTAAGAAAATGTAGTAGAGTCTTAACTTGTATTTTTACAATAAAGATTACATTCAACCACCATATATATTGTTGAATTCCAAAACCTTGCTTGCAACATGGATTGGAATAATAAGACCTTCATCAATCAATTTTGGTATGGATTGAAAGATTACTTCAAAATTTTATTGTTGACAATGCCAAGTATAGACTTATTGGAGTAATTTATTACTCAAGCCATTGTATGCAATAATTGATTCTTTGAAAGATGCTAAAAAAAAGATTTGATTAGAGAGATACAAGTCAAGTTATCACATCAATTGCTAAGTTCACAAAAGCTTATTCATCAAGATTGAAATTTATATAAATTGACATGGTACGTTTTAAATTTCTTATTAAGCAAAAAAAGACTCAACGTTCTAAAAAAGAATTGTGTGAATATTGAGGAGAATCTAAGCTTATTACTCAATATTGTCCAAATAAGCAATGCAACTACAAAATCAGGAATATGGTTGCCAAAGAGGATGATATGTCACAAAACCAATTTTTTTTAGCTACAATAGCAATCATGTAGTTATAATCTTGTGTGACATCTTATAAAGGTCATATCTTCTTCTCAAATTCTTTATCTTTTTTTAAGATAAAATAATCATAAAATCTTTGTCTTATTAAATTCAAAAGCCTAAGCCTATTTTTGAGACAAAGACTTTATCAAAAAAAATAAAATCTTTAGTTAAAAAGCCAAACTTATACACTTAGAAATAATAGATGGTCGTTTATTATCTTTTGGAGATGTCACATATGAAACTATTCCTTTAGATGTAGCAACTAGAGATGATAATAGCTTAATAATATTTAATATAATTAAATCTCTTTTTAATTTAATTATTTTAAAATTATTATGGCTAAAAAAATATAATTCTTAAATAGATTAGATTTCTTGTAACCTTAATTTTTTTCCTAATTTAGTCTAAGATTTTACTTATCAAATCGAAATTCATAAGTTCAACAAGTTCAAATTCTTATTGATAAGTGAAAAACTTTCATATATATTGCAAAAAAAAAGATCAACTTTTGCCATATACACTACACTTGTTTTTGATAGAAAAAAGATTTCAACTGGCATTCCAAGCCAATACTAAGATTATTAAGATATTCTTGAAAAAAATAATACAAACATTCTTTCAAAGCATTGTTCCTTTGATTTTTCTATTGATCTTCAAGAAAGAGCCCAATTACTATTCAAACCAATCAATAGCCTATTATAAAATGAGATAGTTGTACTCATGGAATACATTGACAAAAACTTGGCTAAGAACATCATATACTACACTAAATCTCTAATAGGATGTGAATCACTAAATTGACTCACTTGAATATATAGTATAAAAAATATACTTATGGTACGTAAAATCACAAATTTTGTGAGTTAGTATTAGAATCTTTAGGAGAAATAGAAAATAGATTATTAATACTAAATATATAATCTATAGTAGAATTTATTAAGCCAAATTTCTATGTTGGAGATGATTTTTTAAAAATAATATTAGATGATCGTCCAATAGAAGTAATCTTTATTATAAAAAACAAAAAAATAAAAAATTATTAATAATTTTTAAAATATATATTTTTAATAAATAAAATAAAATAAAATAATAAATAATAAATAATAAATAAAAAGATCAAAAGAAATAAAGTGAATAAAAGAAAGAAGAAAAAAAAAGAAGCAACAAGAAAAAAAGAAAGACAAAAAGAAGAGAAGGAGAGAAAAAAAAATTATAAAAAAATGAAAGGTAATCAAGTAGATAAGAGGTTGTCTATGAATGACAGCAACCTTTTTGTTGATAGGGATCCAGTTGTTAGAGTCTTCGATCTCTTACTCTTGTTTTGCTTTGATTTTTCTTAGACTGCAAATGCTTCAATTAAGTGTCAAGGATATTAGTGCTTAGAATGCAAGGTTGATAACAGAGTCAAGGCCTTCTTTGTTGGCACTGGATATGTAGATGTTTGA